TCTGCTTAACTTTTCTTTATGTATATCATTTAGTTACATAATTTGTGGCAAGAGACAGCCTGAAGAGACAGCTAAACAAGTGAAACAATTATTTAACATTTTAACCAATGGCAATATTCAGAGTGCTTGAAAAAATGAATCTTTATACAAAAGACACATCTGGAATCAAAGTAAACTTCTTATACAAATTCTAACAGAGGGCAAATTTAACTTATAGGCGATTAGCTTGAATAAAACATTTAAAATTTCAAAACAAGTTATGGTACTATAAGTATCACCAATAGATTCAAATCCCTTACAATGTTGGTCAAGTCTTTTTTTTTTTTTTTTTGAGACAGTCTCACTGTGTTGCCTGGGCTAGAGTGGGTCAAGTCTTAATACTCACAGAAAGCAAGGTGAATATAAAAGAGTTATACTTTCTATAACACTCTTAATACTGGATTAGAGTTTGAAAGCTAGGTTCTCCAATATACCTAATGTACCATATGTTCAGGACAATCTGAAATTCATGATGTTCTATGTCAGGCTTATAACCTCCTAAGTAATGTGTTCAGACTGATTGGATTATGCTACCCCAAGATATGGCACCTTGGAATACTGAATATATTAAGATGAAGAAATCTGAGAAACAGCAGGTGCAGAAAGGACTCTCTGACTTTCTCCTGAAGTAGGCCGTAAGACCTTTATTATGAGAGGTGCCCACCCTATACCTGGAGGAAAGAAGCATCTTTTTTTTTTTTTTGTAAATTTCGAAGTATTATGGGGGTACAAATGTTTTTGGTTATAAGGATTGCTTTTGTAATGCTTGAATCAGGGTTATAAGAGCGCCTGTCACCCAGATAGTGTTCACTGTACCCGTTAGGTAGGCTTCTGTCCATCCCCTCCTTCCCCTTGGTTGATTTCCACTGCGTTATACTTCCTTCTGTGTACATGTGTGTTCATCAGTTAGTTCCAATTTAATAGTGAGTACATGTGGTGTTTATTTTTCCATTCTTTAGAGACTTCACTTAGGATAATAGTCTCCAGTTCCATCTACATTGTTGCAAAAGGCATTAAGTCATCCTTCTTCATGGCTGAGTAGCATTCCATGGTATGTATGTATGTATGTATATATATTATATATATATATATATACACACACCACATTTTGTTAATCCATTCATGAATTGATGGGCATTTGGGTTAATGCCACATCTTTGCAATTGTGAATTCTGAAGATCGAGGGATAGTGAGAAGAATCTGAATCAACAGGTCTTGCTAAGTGTCCCCCAGTTTACTACTCTTAGCTCATACTCCTTTGTTCTATCACATTTTCCCATGACTTTCCACTCTTCATCAAACCTAGCATAAAAACACTCAGGTTTACCTGTTTCTTTGGATCTTCATTTTCTTATGAAGGCTCCCAGGTCACATACAACTTACATCAAACACATCTGTTATGTTTTTTGCTTGTTAATCTGTTTTTTGTTACAGAGCCCTAGCTGAGGAAAGGGTTTTTCCCCCTCCCATACAAGATCTTGTTTTGACTAGAAGTTTCGAGTCTCTCATGAGCTACAATTTGTTTCACATTAGCGTGTTTTATACCGTGGTACAGAACACAGTTAATTCATTCGTGGAAATCTAAAGTTTTATAGTGCTTAAAGTTGCCAAATTTCCCTACTGCTAATTTGAACCAGTGAGCATAAAACTTGGGTTTCTTTATTTCTAGAAATCTTCCTTTAAGCTTTTTAATGTCTTGTTATCTGTAGCTTGGTATTTTGTGCAATATTGTATTTCCTTTGTTTTGTATTCATTGTGAACTAGTGTATGGCTAACCTCTTCCACCTCAGTGTGATGTAGAACAGCAGCTCTTGAGGTCCCCTTTAGTCCTCATCTCCTTGACACCTTTGAGGCTCTTTGAAGGCCTCTGGGTCACTGTACTGCCCACGTAGCGGCAACATCACCATGAAATCCCCTGACTTCAAGGACTTCAGTGACTCCAAGATAGGACACAGTTGCTGGTCTTCAGGTCTATGTGTTCATATCCAACTATTCTTAAAGGTTCATGTGTTATAAACATAAAAAACTAAATATAAGATTTGCTACTAATACTGTTTCCTTTTACTTTCGTTTTTTAAATAGCATTGTTTGCGGAGTCTGTCCTTCTGAATAAAATATTTGTCATTTTAGGACTTAAAGCATGCAAATTCTTCTGGAGTCATAAAAATACTAGGATTATAAGTAATACACAAAAAGTGGAAAAGTCCAAAAGCTGTCCAAAATAAATAAGTTCAGAAATTCTACAGCAGAATATAACATTTGGAAAATTTACCATAACTGGTATGATCTTTTACACACTGGCACATTCATAATGAAGACAAACATACAGAATGTAGTACATATTAAAGATATTAAAATACAGATAATGGATAAGGCAAGAATATTTTTAAATGATTTTTGTTACATAGCACTAATTTATTAAAGTACTATGGCCATATAAATGTTTATTACTATATTATATTTCAAATTCTTTTAGTAAACAATACTAGGAAGAGAAAATAGAAATTGATGCTGAAATCTTAAAATACCTTTGTAGAAATAAAGACTTATTGAAAATATTCAGAGAGCTACAAATTTTGTATTAGGCCTATTAATTAAAACATGACTTCTTGTTCAACCAGCATTTAATTCCTATGGTATGGACCCAGTTATTCATTCATGGAAATCTAACATTTTATAGTGCAAACACTTGCCAAATTTCCCTCTACTAATTTGGGCCAGTGAGCATAAAACTCATTAGACTTGTTTAAAAGTGTTTTCTTTTGGGAGGCAATGATGGAGAACAGGAAGAAAAGACTGAAAGATCAGAGAGAGATCTTTGTAAAGCTATTTAAAAGGAGGGTCAACTATACCTGTAACAAATACTAAAAATTCTGCCCTGAAAGGGTAATAAAGAAAAACAAACAAACAAACAAAACCTAAAGAGCTTAAGTTAGTTTATCCTTCCTTGAGTCTTTTACCTTTCAGTATTAAAAAGAAGCATCTGGTTGGGCATGGTAGCTCATTCCTGAAATCCCAGCATTTTGGGAGGCCAAGATGGGAGGATTGCTTAAAGCCAAGACTTCAAGACAAGCCTGGGCAACATAGTGAGACCCTGTCTCTATAAGAAAAAAAAAAGAAAAGAAAAATTAAACCAGGCATAGTGGGAGGCATCTGTTGTTCTAGCTACTTGGGAGGCTGAGGCAGAAGGATTGCTGGAGCCCAGGAGTTCAAGGATGCAGCGAGCTATAACTGTGCCACCGCACTCCAGCCTGGGCAACAGAGCAAGACCCTGTCTCAAGAAAATAAATAAATAAAATAAAAAGAAGCACCTTAGTCAAAATTAACTGCCCAAATCAAAACACTGAAAGCTATTAAATATTCTGATGTAAACAAATTATACCTTGAGTTTTAGATTTGCCAAAAGGCTGACAATTTTTGAATAGAAATAAACACCGAAAGTTATAGACTGACTTTAAGTCTGCAGTCTCCAACCCCCAGGCCGCTGATTGCTATTGCTCTGAGGCCTGTTAGGGATTGGGCCACAGAGCTCCACGGAGAGCAAGCAAAGCTTCATCTGTATTTACAGCTGCTCCCCGTTGCTCTGCATCCCTGCCTGAGCTCCACTCCCCACTATTCCCCGCTGTCTGTAGAAAAATTGTCTCCCGTGGAAAAATTGTCTTCCATGAAACTGGTCCCTGGTGCCAAAAAGGTTGGAGACTGCTGCTTTAAGTAAAATTTCTTCCCATAGAAAGAGGGAACATGTCCAAGAAAGATGCAACTACTGAATAGCTAACAGGAAAATAAAGCAACAATGAGAAAATTTGTTCTCAATAGCTACTATATAGATCACCAAATGAAATCTCATAATGTAAAAGGAACAATGCTGATTTTTACTTAAGATGATCACTTTCTCTTTCATGTAGCAATAACCCTCCAATATTGTCCTTATTTTGCTGAGCTGGAGGATGTTAGGAAGCTGTACAGGAGATGCACATAAGGCTGATGATGTAAGAGAACCTCAGAATTATAGAAGGGTTAGGAACTGAGGAATTGGAAACAAAGTCCAGTATCTTTTCATTTCAAGCTAAATCTCCAAATGAATGAAATTGTAAGTTATCAATCTAATGATTCATTTATGATACTCAATCTAAGCCATTTTAGTAATCTTCATGAGTTGAACTAAAAAGTCAGAGCCCTTTTAGGAACTGGTAAAGACAATCTATGGTAAATAATGTTACCTGTCAGTGGGAGATAATATTTTATAAAACTATTTCCCCTCAGTCCCAACCTACTTTTTATAAATGGGTTCTATAAAAAATGCTGCATTATTTATTTATGGAAGAATGAGGCAGGGAATGTTGAATCTAGTCTTTTTTTTTTTTTGAGTCTTGCTCTGTTGCCCTGGCTAGAGTGCAGTGGCATCATCAAAGTTCACTGCCACCTCCAACTCCTGGGCTAGCTGGGACTATAGGCACCTGTCACTACACCCAGCTAATTTTTCTTTTTTTCGTAGAGACAGGGCCTCAGCTCTTGCTCAGGCTGGTCTTGAACTCCTGACCTCAAGGGATCCTCACACATCGGCCTCCCAGAGTGCTAGGATTATAGGTGTGGGCCACCATGCCAGCCTTGAATCTACCTTTTTTTTAAAAGTGTTAAATGAAGTTTATTGAGGAAGGACAAGAAAGGTTTACAGAGCAAGAGCAAGATACAGGTTTATAGAGTAAGAGCAAGTTACTTTCGCCACAGAATGACGAACAGACCCCTCTGTTGTAACAAAAGGGCCCTTGAATCTACTTTTTTAATCTGTCTGCCTGCACAAACCAAGATTCAGCATGCGAGATGAAATTCTACATGGGAGAATGGAATTTTTTCTTTATTTACGTTAATATTTATTTGGCTACAATTTTGAAAATGAGGAAATGAAACAATAAACTATGACACATATATTACTAGTAAGGTAATTAAAAAACTGAACTCACCATTTTTTAGGTTTTGATAATGGTTTGTATTTGCTGTATTTTACACGCCATTCAAGAACTTCTTTACAGCGCTGACATACTCCATCATGAAGTTTTGCATTAATTTTCTTAAAAACAAATAGAAAAACACATTGAGAATTTCAATGGTGAGGCAGCATTGCAAACCCCATAAAAAAGCACATGAGAAATTCAAGATTTAAAAAATAATAACCTAACTTTAATCCGTATAACATTTTATGATATATTATGTATTTTTATGTACATTACTCAATTTGGTCTTTACAAAGGCAATGAATGGTTCTTAACTGGGTGTAGCTCAGAATCATCTAGAAAACTTTCTAACCCCTTGGCAGATACATTTTGAGAAAGTCCTCCCCATTGATCTTAATTTATACATTTGTTAAAATTCAAACTGTACATTTAAGATACGTGCATTTTATTGTATGTAAATTATACCTCACTGAAAATGTAATAATAAAAAAGAAAACCTAGCTCCTATGTTAAGACTATTGTTTCAACAATTTAAATCCTATCAGTGAGTTGAAATTAAACTGGGAAATCAGATAGTCCTGAATTGTCACTCTGTAGGGGAGAGTAGAGACTGAAATTTGAGAAAGGAGTGCCAGGGAGAAGCTAGAAGTAAGAAGGCATTTCATTATTCAGTTTAATCCTTTTGTACTCTCATATAAAGAAAATGTTTTAGAAAAGTTCCCCCTACTAATCTGATTTCTTCAAAATAAAATATATATATATGTGCATGTGAGTATGAGGGGTGGGAAAAAGGCTTATTGAGGGGAAGAACATTTTTATTACAATTTTCTTCACAAAATGTGTTGGGAAAGGAGGATACAAGAAATTTCAATGTGTCATGTATTCTATGTAACAGTTTTATATTTCATAACATGCTCATTTGATTCAGTACTCTATTTTCATAGAGTACTCAGAGTTCTCTAATTGGGCTATGGAAGCTTGGTCTTTGCTATTGTTGGAATAATGAGCAGAGGACATTTTAAATTTTCTTTGCTTCTTTTGTTTCCTTTTTTATTAATAATTTCTCAAGGGGAGAAAGAAACATCACGAAGATGCAGACTCTTTAGAAGGCTATGTGATAGTTAAAAGCACAATGTTTAGACAAAATCATCTTGAAAGAAAACAAAACTTTTGAACAGTGCTTGATATTCTTGAAAATTCTAAACAAGATAAAATATTTGACAAAACATTTATTCAAAGAGAAAATATTAATATTTCAGGAGTAGTCTCAAAATCCATAAATTAAGCTGCAAATATATTATGCTTGAGTTTAACTCTGTAGTGGAAAATATATTCTGTTACTTATGAATTGTGTCTGGGTGTATTCCTTTCTTCCTGAAATAAATATAAAGACCCTGAGCAAGTAAGTTCTGCATCTTATTATATTTCTTCCTTACTCTGGTCCACTAACTATTGCCAGAAAGATGGGAATCTGTATGTACACACCAAACTCCTCTTCCCCTCATCCTTGGTACCTGGTCATCACACATAGGTCTGGCTAAGAAACACAGAAACAAAGCTCCCCTTTTATCATTTGTTTTAACAGTCCTCTGTTGCACAGAATATCTTACTAAAGGCATTACTTATATTTTCTTAACTCTAACAATAATAGGAAAAAAACTAATGACTTTGAACTATATGATTACAATATGAATGTAATATAAACTTTCTGATCAGAATTCTTAGTTGAACATTTATGTCATTACTGGCAATTTTATTATATATAACACATTCTGCTTGTTAACTAGGCAGCGTTCTTTGGTTTCTTGTTTGTTTCTGTATCCAATTTCTGACCAGTTCATCTTGATTTACAGAGCTGTGCATAGTTTGGAAACTGGTTTCTTTAGGGTGGATCGACAGGAGAACAAAACAGGTCTTTGTGAGAACTTGCCCTGTGAGTGATGGGTGAAGTAGTGTAAATGGAGATGCTGTACAGAGTTCACATGACTAACAGGCACTGCTCTAAAATTAAACTTGATTTTTATGTGTTAAGAAATGAATGAGGGTAAGAATGAGAATGAAGAGTACTTTTCACATAAAAATAGGTGCAGAAAGAAAGAAGAACGTATACCTTGTTTTACTATATTTTGGCAAATAGAAGTGAATTCCTGAGATGTGAGCAAAGAAAGATAAATCCTAGTTCTAGGAATCCTTCTGCCTGGGGCAAAGGAGATGACAAGCTTACCTTACTCACACCTATATTTACAATTAACTCCGTTTGGCAATTAATTTTAGTATATCCCTTATGGTAGAAACTCATAGGTTATTAAGGTTAGGATTTAAGTATGCCCAAACATAAAATCAAAAGTTAGTTTTATAAGGAGAAAACCCTTTAAAGATCATTTAGTGCTATAAGTTACTTTCCAGATTTTTAAAGAAAAAAAAAATCATCCATGGAAGAGTTCACTGAATTTAGGAATCACCTAAAGAAGAAAACGTTCAATACTTTTTCACGTTAGAATAAACTTAAGATACATCGAAAGATACTCCTACCTAATATATACATAAAGTCTTAAAAATATCTTAGCCATCATTCATTCATACAACATATATTTGAGAGTAATTGTTGCTGGCCCTACTTTAAGCATTTTGTTGTCAAATAATACATCTTTGGTAATGTCGTACAGCAATCCCAGACAGAAACTGGGTGAAGAGGGACTTCAAAGAAGGTAGGAAGAGCAAATTGTAAATAGGACATCTGTATCAACATGCTGATGCTGAAAAATATTTTATAAAATATAAAGTATCATTTAACAGAAGTAAGATATTACTGTGAGGGGAAAGGAATTTGAATACCATTCACAACTAATATAATTTTCCCTTAGGATTTTTTGTGCATAATAATTCTTTCAGAAATTTCAAGGGCAAAACAATGGCATATTTTACGTCCCTTAATAAAAAAAAAAATAGAATTAAAAAAATGAAATTCTCAAAGAAAAATGTTAATTCCAACTGCTGGGTACAGTGGCTCAGTGGCTCACGCCTGTAATCCTAGCACTCTGAGAGGCTGAGGTGGGTGGATTGCTTGAGCTCAGGAGTTTGAGACCAGCCTGAGTAAGAGCGAGACTCCATCTCTACTAAAAATAGAAAAATTAGCCAGGTGAGGTGGCCTATGTCTGTAGTCCCAGCTACTTGGGAGTCTGAGGCAGGAGTATTGCTTGAGCCTAGAAGCTTGAGGCTGCAGTGAGCTATGATGATGCCACTGCACTCCACCCAGGGTGACAGAGCAAGACTGTCTCAACAAGAACAAAAAAAGGAAACTGAAAATCCATTTCCATAAACTGGCCTTGTTTTTTCCTCTGTATTACTCCTTCCCCTAAAACAAGGTATTTTACTCTAATTACAACAATTACTCTGGAAAATAGAAAATTTTATATCTTATTTAATTATATTTAAAAGTATATACTTTTGAATTTTCTAGAAATAGTCCCTGATTTTAAATTTAGGTAGAGGATAAAAAAATCCCTGGATTTGGGGGCAAGAACTTCCATGACTAATAATGATGTGAAAATCTTTTAGGCTGTCACTTTCATTTCATAAACTACATTATTTTAAATCCTTTTAATTTGGCTAGAACATTGTTGGACGTGAAGTATCTCACAAAAAACAACCAAAAAAATAGATGAGGGAATCAGAATGAGAGAAAAATAAGGATAGGCAGTGAAAATTACAAAGCAGACAGAGTGCAGCCAGGAAGTGTGCCCATTACACATGGGCTACAACAAATGAGATCTCAGCTTTCTAGCAGTCAGTAAAACATAACTCAAAGTCTGTAACATACCAAAAATCCAGTTTCTCAGAAGCAGCACAATTATTCTGTTATTGAAACCCAAAATTAAAAAAAATAATAAAAAAAGAAATCCAAAGTTTCATCTTTCCCACATGTGATACAGTAAGCAATGTTCTCAAAAACATGCTTCTGTAACAAAGCATTTCACAGAACTGTCTTCTACCCTGGTTCTCAATGTAGGCCAGTGTTCAAATGCTCAAACAGAGGGCAGTGAAAAAGATATTCTTAGGAGTACTACCCCTGATAGTCATAGGATCTACAGGAATGCACTGCATATCATAAGGTCATCTTCAATAAATACTATTTCTCTCAACTAAGCTCTAAAAACATATCCTTCTCTTATGATAAATGTCAAACTTGCAGATAAAAGTTAAAATAATATCAATACACAACAATATACACACTCCCAAGAGACAATCCTTAACATTTTACCTTTTTGCTTTTCATATATATGAGTACAGTTAAAAAAAGTTACTGACATTCACCTCTTAATACTCATCATATACTAGAAATAAAGACTTTCTCCACAATACTGTTAAATAAAAGAAATAAACTTTCTAACCTCAATACTATTACCACACCTAAGAAAAATGAAAAATATCTCCTTAATGTCATCCAATGTACTCAGTCTATATTGAAATTTTCTCAACTTCTCCCAAAATGGCTTTTCAGAGCTGTTTTTTCCCCTCCCTAAATTAGGATCAAATCAGTATTGTTCAGCTGTTCTCTCTCTTTTGATCTAGAACAGTTCCTAGATCAAAATGAATGAATAATGTTTCTTCATTGACCAATTAAAGAACATTTTGAGTTGTTTCTAGTTCGGGGTTGCTAATAAATATTTGCATATAAGTTTTTGTGTGGAGATATTTTTATCTATCTTGGGTTAATTCCTAGGAACGGTATTGTTGGCCTATATAATCTAATGCTTAATTTTATAAGAAACCAACAGTTTTTCAAAGTTGCTGTATCATTTTGCATTCCATCAGCCATGTAGGAAGATCCAGTTTTCCTACATCCTTTCCAGCACTTAAAGTTTTATTTTTTGTTTTCACCATTTAAATACGTATGTAGTGTTATCTCATTATGATTTTAATTTGCATTTCTCTAATAATTAATAATGTTAAAAATCTTTTCACATCCCTACTTGCCATCGTGCATTTTCTTTGGTCAAGCTCCTATTCAAGTCTTTTGCCCATATTTTTATTGGATGGTTCATTTTTTTACTATTGAGACGTGAGAGTTCTATATATATTACGGATATTAGCCCTTTATCAGATATGTTCTTTG